GGACAGAAAGAGCCCCTGCCTCATTGCCAAATCTGAGTGGCTGGCTCTGCCTTCCCTGGGGAGGCTGACTTCAGCGTGTCCTCTACTGCACCCACCACAGGGGAAGTGCAACAGCTGCAGAGTCCTGATGTGACCCAAGGACACTCACAGAGGCTGTGGTTTCTCCTGCTCTGTATTTCCAGACCCTTGAGGCGTGACATCTGGCTTTCTCAGTGGTTGTCCCAAGGGGCCAGGTGCACAACCAGGAAGGACATGGGAGTTAGAGCCCCATGGGGAAAACTGACAAATGGGGAAAATCTACAGGTGAATTTCTTTTGCTCTGTTCCTCTGACGGAGGTTCTGTGGTACTGTGGTTCTACAGAGGATGCCTGGATATTGTCCCTTGTGCCCAGGCAAGTGGCTCTGTTTCCTGTTCTAAAACATCAGCCAGCAAGGCAACAGCCAGCTAGCATCTGCTTCCTTTTCTTCCTTGTTTCACTTCTCCTTTTCCTTCACTGCTGCTGCCCTGCCACTCTACCTCTATATCCCATCCAAAATGTATTAGCACATTCTTTTAACCCGGTTCCAAACAGACAAAGAAAAACTACTCTGTGGCCCCCAAAAACCCAGCCTGAAGCAACATAGTACCCCTAGAATTCAAAGTTTCAACCCCATATATAAATTCTTAAGTGGCAGATTTTCACTGTAAAACATCAGGGGAGATTTTTTTGAGTAAAGTGAAAATGATCTTCAAATTGTTCTCTCTTTCTTTTTCTATCTAAACAAAGTCAATTCTATTAAAATCTAAGTGGATGCCAAGGAGAAATCCCCAGGATGCTACACAGAGTTTTTCTTTTGTTATAATAAAAAATGGGCTCAGTGCCATGGACACCAAGGAGAGGCAGTGAATTTAAACATGATGCAGAGAATGTAGTAGCCTGAAAGCTGCTTTCCCTGAAGTAATTCATCACTGAACCGGCATGATGCAAGCGATGTGAAATGGTCTTGTTTTTCAAAAACTGAATTGACTTGCAGTGTGGCTCTCATCACCTCTAGGCCAGCAGTTATAAGACCAGAACTAGTTTTGAGTGCTACTGATGTGCAGGCTAAAGAATCTGACCTGAACACAGGGATGTTGTCATCATCGCCACAATAGCACTCATGGCTGCAGTCTGCTTGGTCTATCGCTGTTAAGATGGGTGCAGGGTAACCATTCTGTCCTCTTTGTTATATGGAGAATGACCTCAGTTTTCTTTTCTGTCTGACTGGTCTTAGCCTCTAGATTTCTTTTTGCTGTGTTCTGTTACAAAGGCTACCTCTCTTTGCCTCCCTCCTCCACAACTGGAATCCAGCCAAAATGTACCAGAATGAGATGCTCCTAATATTTGAACCCTTTTGTAAGGGTGCTGATTGCAACTTGGGTAAGTTCAGTTTAATACAAGGTAGAAGATTTCTGCTGCTTTTGGGGAAGAAAATCAATGTCTAAAAATAAAACTTGGGCATAAAAATAGGCCAAATACTCATTAACTGCCTCACTTAGCTGAATGCTGAAATGATTTCAATAGCGCTAAATCAAGAGTTTGTGTAGAAGAGGTTGAGTATGGGTTTTTTTATTCATAGTACTTTATCTTTGATAAATGGGTTACTGTAATTTGTCATTTTATTCAAAAGACGTGAATTATATAGTTCTCAAGGGCCTAATTTTTGGCTTATATTCACTCTGACCCTTGAATTGTGTTCACCAGGCTTTTGGAAGGTATGTGGTGGGCTCTTATGGGAGAAGCTGGAGGGGTAAGCAGGGCCAGGAGCCAGAGCCCGCAAGGCTTGATAGGCTAGGGTTGAGAATGTGTATCTGAGTGTGATGGGAAGCCACTGGAGGGATTTAATTAGGAAGATGTCAGAAGATGATTTATAGTTTAAAAATATTACTCTTGGCTACTGTGTTGACAGTGGATTGTAAGGAGGCAAGAGTAGAAATGGGTAACCAGCTAGATATCTATTTCAGATATAGAAATAAGAGGTGATAGTGTGACTTTGGAGTAGGATGGTAATGGTCGACTTGTAGTTTTATTTAATCTATTAGCAAAAAATGACTGATTAGTGAATTAGATATGGGATATGAAGGAAAGGAAGAGTCAAGGTTGATTTCTAAGTTTCTGGCCTAAACAACCGGGAGGACTTGGTATCAATTATTGAGATGAAGACAGGAGGAGGAGCAGGGTAGTTTTTGTTGTTGTATTTGGGGTGGGGCAGGGAGTTATGCTGAAGGGAATGAGGTGGAAACAAGGGCTCATGTTAATTCTATGATGCCTATAAGGCATCTGAATGAACAGGTCAAATGGGTTGTTGAATATATGACTTGACTCAATAGACAACTTGGAGAATCCTTGGCATACAGCTGGCATTCTGAGTCATGGAAGAAGGGAACTCACCAGGGGAGAGAGTACAGACAAAATATGAAGCCTGAGAACATTCATATTTCCACATAAAGAGGGCAAGCCTGGAAGGAGGCCCAGGGAAGGACTAAGGAGGAGCAGCAGCAAGGAAGGAAAAACTGGAAGAATGCAGTGAAGCATGCATTATGAAGCATAGCAATGAAGAGAAGGATCTTCCAGAAGAAGGTCATGGCTGGTGATGCTGAATGCTGCTGTGAGATGGATAAGATAAGAACAAATTGTATCCATTGTTTTGAGCAATATGGAAGTTCTTGGTCACACTGACAAGGGAAGTTTAAGACATATCATGCAGACCGAGGCCCAGAGCAGATTGAGGGGAGATGGTAAAGCGGAGATAGGAATGGCTATTTAAGCAATTATTTTAAGAAGTTAATAGAGCTGAGAAATAGATGGGTAGCTAATTGAGAGTCAGAGGAAAATACTGTTTTTTTCTTGCATTCTTAAGAGGGGGCATTCTTAAGTGTTTGTGCTCATGGGATTGGTCTGGCAAAGAGAGGGAACCTGATGCTACAGTAGAAAGGGGATATAACTGCAGTGACAAATTGCTTAATGCAAAAAAATATGTGAGATGCAGAGCAAACATGAAGTGTTTGGCTTGGAGAACAGGGGGTAGAAAGAGTTGACATAGCTATTAAAGAGGTGGTTGAATTGGCGGTAGGGGGATGAGGAAGTATCAATAATTAATTATAACTAATTAGTGAAGCAAGAGCATCAGCTAAAAGGGAGATGGGAAAATGGGATGCAGTAAATCTCAAGAAAAAGTAGCAAATATTGGAGTCACTGTGGAGAATGGGAAGGTGAACCTATAATAGTAAACACGAAATCCCCTAAAGTTATATTAAACAAGGTGGATTTGAATGCAGTTTTGCTTGGAAAGAGACTGATTAAAACAAGTTCTTTTTTTAACAGCCTATAAAGGTAAAAAACATATTACATATTAGCACATGTTCACAGTAGGAAATTAGTTTAATAATTACTTATAATCTTACTATTCAGAGATAATCATTGTAATATACCTTTTCATTTATTATGCATGCAAGTACATCTATAGAAAGAAATATAAAAGTCTTATTTTCATAACTAATGCTATTTTACAAAATTTTACTTTGCCAAGCATTTTAGCTATTGCTCTGAGAAAGATGAAAGCTACTGGAGTGATAACTTTGTTATATTGCAAATGTTTTCTATAATCATATTTTAATGTTTGTGTTCATTTTCTAATTTTTACATAGATATACCTATAACAGAAAATTTATAGCCATGTTAAAAAGGTGCTCTTTCAGGGGTGTATACCAATTATTTTTTCTACTGTTTAAAATGAAAGAATAAATTATTAACCTACCAGATTTTAATTTGATTAAATGTGATGAAGAAATCTAATTTTTAGAATAGTTTTAATCATTCTTAAATTACATATCCTATAATACAACCTTGTAATGGTAGCACTTTCAGATGATTTCCTTAAAATTTTCTTTCAGAAGTATTTAAAACTATGCTATTTTTTCAACAAGATTTTTTAAAGAGTAAAAATGATCTATCATCACATCACCAGAGAAAATAAGTTGTACTTTACTTACTTGAAATTATATTGTGTGTAAACATTTTTCCATCTGTATTTTCTTACTTTTAAAAAATGTTTAAAAAATGTTTACACTTTGGAATTTTTTTAAATTCTCATCCAAGATTATTTTATTATTGATTTGCACGCGTGCACGTGAATGAGAGAGAGAGGCATCAATCAGTTGCCTCCTGTATGTACCCCAGCAAGAATGGAACCTGCCACTAGGTATGTGTCCTGACTGGGAATCAAACCCACAACTTTTAGGCATACAGGACGATGCTTTAACCAACTGAGCCACCTGGCCAGGGCCACTTTTTAAAGTTTTTGAAATACCCTTTGTAAATATGACTTTAATGGCTGCCTTATGATTTGCACTATTATTGGGCATTTAAGAATGTTTGTAGTTTTTAATTGCCTTTTTACATGTGTGATTATAAATAGCACTATAGTTAACATTATTGGCACTTAATATTTAATTGGATTTGGTTTTAGTATATTTACTATAAAAGCACTACATATCCCTTATAGAAAGCTTTAAAAATAACAGACAAAATTATTATACCAAAGAGAACCACTGTTGGACATACACCAAATCTCTATTCATTCAACTGCTGTTTTTCAGTACCTGCTATATAGCAGGCACCGCTTCAGATGCGGAACCTGCCCTTCAGAGCTGACATGCTAGTGTACACTTAGTGATATGTCATGTCAGTCTCCTACAGGCAGAAATGTGTGTGTTTTAAAAAGGGACTGTGCTACTTGAAAGTTGCATTGTAATCTATTTTTTTTCCTGTAACATTAAGAACTTACTTCCATGCTACTGAACTGTCTTTTACAATATCATCTTTAATGGCTATAGGAGAATTATTTTTTTGGACATACTATATTTTATTCATCTGCTATAGTCAGACATTTCCTTTTTCAATTCCTGACTGCTCTTAACATCCATAAAATGCATATTTTGCTTCTTTTTGATAGGATAACTGACATGACCTCCACAAGACATGAAGGCACAGGCAGTGCATGCTGTCTGTGTTCGTCAGTCTTGTAACATCTCTAAGCGGATCTCAGGGTAAGTTCCTTTATACCATGCCTGAGCATTAGCTATTTGTATAGTTAGAACAGAGTGCAAGCACACAGTGCCAGGGGGCTGTTGCCTCTGAAGCCATAACATTGTGAACTTTTCTGAAAGATCAGTTAATGAGAAATAAAGAAGAGACTGGAAGTTTGCATGAAGATTAAAAACCATATTTTCTCCTGTCTTTTCTGATTAAGACTCTTTCTGTTATCTGCTACCAGATAGAAAATCACTAGAAGGGCAAGTTTGATTGATTGGTTGATTGATTTTTTTTTAAGTGTAAGCTTAGTACTTATTCAACACTTGACAGAAGGCATTATCAGGTTTTCTAGGTCCTGTGATGGGAATTTTTATTTAACTGATAAAACATTAGAGGTGTTTAGTAGAACAGTTAGGGGAGTCAACAAAACCACTGCCTTTCTTTCTTTTTTTTTTTACTCTTTTTTTAAAATTTATTTTAATCATTGTTCAAGTACAGTTTCCTCCCTTTTACTCCCAATCCAGCCCACCCACCCAACCCTCCCCACTTCCCTTCCATTACCACCCTCCCCCTAGTTTTTGTCCATGTGTCCTTTAAATTTGTTCCTGTAAATCCTTCCCATTCTCTCCTGAAATTCCCTCTTCTCTCCCCTCTGGTCACTGTCAGCCTGTCCTCTATTTCAGTGTCTTTGGTTATATTTTGCTTGTTTCTTTGTTTTGTTGTTTAGGTTCCTATTAAAGGTGAGATCATATGGTATTTGTCTTTCACTGCCTGGCTTATTTCGCTTAGCATAAAGCTTTCCAGCTCCATCCAAGCTGTTGCAAAGGGTAGGAGCTCCTTCCTTCTTTATGCTACATAGAAATCCATTGTGTACATGTACCATAGTTCTTTGATCCATTCATTTACTGATGGGCATCAAGGTTGCTTCTAACACCTAGCTATTGTAAATTGTGCTGCTATGAACATTGGGATGCATAGGTTCTTTTGGATTGGTGTTTTAGTATTCTTAGGATAGAGTCCCAGCAGTGGAATTGCAGGGTCAAAAGGCAGATCCATTTTTAGTTTTCTGAGGAAGTTCCATACTGCTTTCCATAGTGGTTGTACCAGTCTGCAGTTTCACCAACAGTGCACTAGGGCCCCCTTTTCTCCACAACCTCTCCAACACTTGTTGTTTGTTGCTTTAAAACCACTGCTTTTCTATTCCATCTTTCCATGTCTTTCTCTCCACACAAGATGACATCCCTCCAACATGGTACAGAAATAAACGGAATCTCTCTGAGGAAGAGAAGTAGGACATAGTCGAGTGGAAACGGACCCAGAGGAGGAGGCAAAGGAAAAGACCTTGTGCCAGGGCCACATGAGCACCCAATTTCCCCCTCATGGGTGGCCTTGGCCGAGGTACAAAGGCACTTGCTACACTGTCCATGAAAAAAGTTCCTTTTCAGTCTTACTATCACAGAATTCATACAGAGGGCACACAGTCTACTTAACATGTGTTGTGAGATGTTCAAAGAACCTGTATGCTACCTTCAATAATTATGAAATGGCTAAGTATATTTCTTTGCAAAATCCTTGCTTTTGATAAATCCATTTGTTTTTTAAAGTCAGCTTCCAAAGTGGAAGATTAAACTTCCACATTTATATTCAGAATAATGTTTATTAACTAGCTCTGATTAACTCATGGGATATCCTGATGGTGGTCCTAAAGCTGAAAGAAGTGAGTTACTTCATTCCTCCTTTTGGGCTCCTCCTGCCCACATGTTTCTTCACTTGAGACTAATGTCTGCATATTCCTAACAGATTTCTGCACAGATTGTCTTCTATAGGCTCAAATATTACCTAGCCCAACCAAGGGAAGTTTGCTTTAATCTTTCAGGGCCTGCTGGCTCTAGCTAGCTGGATAAACTAATTTGTTATTTTATAGTAGGTGTTAAAAGTGAGTGTTCTCAGGGAATAAAAATCAACAAGAGTCTTTTATTACATAATATGCATAATTTCCAATAACTATAGCCAGCCAGAATCAGAGAAGAGATGAGATTATTGATCAAACTAGTGTTTCTGTGCCTTAGGCTGTTGCCAATAAATTCTCATCACTACAATGAATCAAACAGATATTCAATTAAAATAGCAGTGACTCAAACACGGGGCTTCATGGGTTGTTTCTAATAATTAGACTAGCAAAGGTTCTTGATGATGTGTATAGGCCGCTGACCTAAGATAGTGCTTCTGCGTAGTCCCAATATAATCTTCGATAAGCATCATCACTAGTTCTCTTCATAACTGCTCTTGACTTTATATACAATCTTTCCAGTTTTCTTCAATCACAATGAGTGAGCAAATACTCACTTGGAAGACTTGATGAAGATATAATTCTCCCTCACTCATTTGAGAGTGAGCCCAAAGTCATAATTCACTGGAGGAATCAAGATAATGTTTACACATACTACAAAGACAGTGACCACTTGTAAAAGCAAAATTCCAAATAATGCAAACAATACACACTCTTCCACTGTAACATTCACAGTGGGAATGCCTCCCTATCTCTCAGAAGATTAAGCCTCTGGATGAAGGAACTTGTATGTGCTGTTTGGGAACAACAGCTAGAAGCATCCTGAAATGCTACTACAGATGGGAGGGACGTATGCATGTAAGGTTGATAAAACATAACAATGATATCATTCCATGTTTTTCTGAAGTGTCTTTATTAATTTGATAGACTATGGGTTCTTCTATGTCAAAACATATAGATCTACATCATTTTAAATGATAGTATCTTATAGTACTGATATGCTATAACTGATACATCTATTCCCCCACTGGTAGGTATGCAAGCACTTCTAGTGTTTTACATTACAAAAAATAATGTTGTAATGAATATTCTTATGTTTAATAAGGGAAAGGATTTGAAAAAAGTATCAGACATAAGATTTCAACACATTACTTCCACCAGCAGTGTAAGAGCATTCATTTTTCTCTTAGTCTTATCAGCACGTAGTATCATCAATTGGAAAAATTTATGCCAATATGATAGCTTAAAAATGTTGAATTATTGAGTTAAATTACATTTTTCTGTTTTCTTAATGGAGCTAATTTTAACATTATGTACCGTTGACCCTTGGAGAACACAGGGATTAGAGTGCTGACCACCCAGGCAGTTGAAAATCTGCCTAAAACTTAAGTCAGCCCTTTGCACACATGGATTCCCAATGGCCACATGACCCTTGAATAATGTGGGTTTGAATCATGCAGGGCAATTGAAAAATACCCGCATGTAAGTGGACCCATGCAGTTGACAGGTATGTTGTTTAGGAGTCAACTGTATCTCTTGTCTATATTGATTGTATTTATCTGTTCATTTATTTATTGGGGGAAGGGGTATTTTCTAATGGTTGTTTTATCCTGCACTGTTCCTTCTCCCTATGTCCCACATAGCTGCTTCAGATCTGGACTCAGAAATCTAAGAATTATATGTAAACAGCGTCAAAAAGGCTGAGTCAGCACCTGAAGAATATGGAGTGTTGCGTGAGCTCTAGTTTATAGACCCAACACCCACACTTGCTTGTTTGGTGAGGCCATTTGACTTCTTTCTAATACTCTTCCTGGAGGATCGAGATTGCTAGTTGCTCTATATCCACAAATCCCCTTTATTCACTTGTAAATAACCACACATTATCTTAAGGTTCTACAGTTTTTGTGTTGCTTTTGCTTTCAGTAGCTGCCAACTTTTGCCCATAAAGCTTAGCTGTTCCTTTCATGGGTATTGAAATAATAAATGCTCTGCACAGATGACCTAAAAAGAACCTAGTGATGACCGTTCCTTATGTACCCTTCTTTCTCCCTCATCACTTTTGTCACACTGTGGTGAAGTATGAAGAGAGGGACACAATCAGCTCCTTCATATGTGGCACGTTAAGTGTTTATCTTCATCCAGTTATCACACAGAAAGTGGACAATACACCTATCTCTGCAAGCACTCTGAAAGAAATTGAATCTTTCGATCCTTTATATAATGGTAGAGTAAATATCACAGGATCCAATTTGTCTTATGACTGTGCCATTGAAAATCCAATGCTGAAGGAAACATGGACTGGGAGATGGACAATGAAAGATAGATTTCCTGGGGCTGTCTGTGTATATGTGCTAGGTCAGAGGGGGCAGGGGAACAGGGCTGATTTACAGGGAAAGAAGGGGACAGAAAAGAAAGAAAATGCATCCATGGCCATCAGAAGGCTGGGACTAGAGTCCCAGGTCTAATATTAACTGACTGTATTACCTTAAGCAATCATTTTTACTTCTGAGCATTAGTTCCTCCTTAATGAAATGGAAGTAATTCTTACCTTCCTAGGTGTTTTATGAGTTGAAGGAAAACATGTGAAGTGGACAGTAGCAAATCTATTCATAAGTACTCCTGTATTTCTCTAGAGCGGATTTCTCTGCAGAGGATTTCCCACTAGCATTGTGCTTCAAAAGATCAGAGGAGAAGGAAAGAATGCTTATGTATTATCAGGTCACAACCTTTGGTTCTTGCCAATCTTTCAACTAAACAAAAATTAACTAATTAGTATTATTGCTTCCCTTTAGTTTCTTTGCATAGTCCCGGCGCAGCCATCTTTATCAACACCTCTATCATTTCATGGGCAGTTTTCACACTCCTTCCTCTCATTCCCTTGAACAAACCCAAACTCTGACCAATCTCTGTATCCATAACAAAGTGTTTAAGAAAAATTAATAAGAAAAATGTACTTGACACTGTTTACTCAATTCCAAGGAAGCATATTGTTTTCATTAGAAGCAAAGCAAGATTTTTCTGTAAATTTCCATTACATAAGGAAAGTGGAGATTAGCTACCCATTTTTGCCTTCTCCTGAGTCTCATATTCTTAAAATGCCCACTGAGGACACTGAAGTTAGAAATGGTTCACACTTGTACATGATTTGAGTGCTAAAGGCATGGCCACCCAATGTCCACTTTTCATCAGCCAGGTAGTGGTAGAAACATGGGAAACAATGAAAATGTTACTATTAAATGGTAAATACCTTCTGTGAGACATTGTATTTCCTCATGTTTATTCAGAACTGAGCACCCAGAGGCACCAACGGATCCTTGGGCCCCGTGCTGTTTATCTTGCTGAGGAGCTGTGCTGTGCTAACGAAGGGTTATTGTTCTCTGACTGTGAACTTAAGAACATGGATTCCTATTTTCTGGATCTACAGCATCCAGTGTAAACATACAAAAAGAAAACACAATGAGGAAGGGTGCATAAAAAGAGAATAATTAATTCTGTTCACTGTGGTTGGGTATGAATGGAGTTAAGAATACATGCTTAAGAAAGTTGCCTGAGAGCAGAATTTTAAAAGAGTTATAAGAAATTCCAGGAAACATAGGCATTCCAGGTTTAAAAAAATGCATTATGTGCAAAAGCACAAAGGAGTAAATATCACTGGGTTTATGAAAGTTTAAGCTGTTGACTGTCAGGCTGAATTATCCAGAGATAAGCCTGGAGAGGAGGGCAGAAACCAGATGAGAGGCCTACTGAGCCTTGCACAGGAGCCTGAATGGGGTCCTGGAGGTAGCAAGGAGCTGAAGAAGGATGAGAAGCATCAGAATCATCCTAGACTTGGATTTTAGATGGTTTGCTTTGGCATATTTTCTCCCAGGTGGACTAAATAGTAGGTGAGTCTAAGGCCAGAAAGAACAATCTAGGGAAGTCCCTAGAAGCCAGCCTGCAGAGCTGTAGAACAGGAAGGACAAGGCAGAGCTGATCTGGGACAAGCTGAGAATACCCAGCCAGCACTGTCCCTGCTCCAAAAGAGCCTAGTCCAGTGGGTGGTTATTTACAAACACTTGGAAATGAACTTGTCATGTGTAAGAAATGACACTTTGTCCAGAAAGAGATTAAGAAACAATTGAGACCGTAAGTAACAGAGAACTAGGGAGTAGGTGGAGTGGCAAGAGGGGAGTCCTAGGGAAGACCAGCATTGCTAGGTCCACAGAAGCAGAACAGTGAGTTGATAGGTTAGTCACTGGCAGCAATGTTAATATCAGGTGCCCATGCTTGGGTACTCACTGTCAGATTGTAGGAATTAAAACTCAAGGGGTGTCATCTCCCTCACTGGCTCAAGCTTAGGCTACCACAAATGCCTAAACTTAACTTTTGTGGGAGCCTTGAAAATAGTAGTGGTAAACATTTTCTTTAAAGAAACTCCACAGGAAGGAATTTTCAATGATATTTCTAAATGCATTTCTAAGTGTACCTTTAAAAATTCATTTGAAAATTTCATACTCATTGATGTGTTTTTTTTTTCTGTCCTGTTGTTAGATGGCCTTTGTAAAAAGCAAAGGGAAAGCATTTTGCTATCATGTGAAGTTACAAACTATATTTTCCTGCTGAATGATAGGAAAATATCATTCCTACAATGAAGATATCATAGTCACTTGGTCCAGAGGGGAAAGTGGTATTTCCAGCACCCTGGCTTACTTTCTGAGCTCCCCACAGAATACAATTATTAATGAACCCTGACTTTCATGAAATGAATAGCTAATAAACTAGGGAGACTTTTTGCTTTGAGGAAGCTTAGTCCCTCAGACAATGAGGAATATTTATGCAATATTTCTTCAAGCAAATATGCTTGTGCTCACTTTCCAAACACTGCATATAGGTAAGTTATCAGTATAAGTAGGGTTTGATAATGGTTTTAGGCTATAGCAGCAAAAATTGTGAATTACAAACAGGGAAATCAGGTTGGCATTTAAAGAATACCTTTGATTGGTATTTCTGAAAATGCTTTTTACCTACAGGGATATTTCTGTTCAAGATGGCAAACAACCTCCTTACTTCAACCACACAAAAGTCCTGCATTGAAAAAAAAATCTACCATAAGATTTCCTTTTTAGGGTTTCAGGGCTTCAGAAATTAAGAGGGAACATACATGTTTTGTGCCTCTGTGAGCTGAGCATCTTGAAATCCTGTTTGCCACTGTCTCTACGATGTGTCTCAGTGTCCAGGATGTGCAGAGCTGAGGCTGTAGGCACAGTGGGAAGTTGGAACTGGGGCTCTGCTGGATGCTGGGCAAGCATAGTCCATGAACCTGGTACAAAGAGTCACCAAAGGACATTTGGCATACTAAGTATATGCCCAACTCAGCTAATTTTTTACTCCTATTGATAGCTGAATGCCAAAACTAATAATTTAAGATATTTCTAGTCCACTATTCATAGTGGAGTGTGTACCCATGAAGTTGACTTTCTAGGTGGGTTGACTAGTCCTTTCACCCACAAACCATCAACTTGACATCATGGGAGACCATGTCCTCTCTCTTTTTATTCTTTATTAAGGCTATTTGAGTCAGGGGAATATGGTTTAGAAATATTTCTATCATATCATTCTAGCTGTGAAAATTAGTAGGAATAACATATTTGGAAGTTTGGTGATTCTATGTAGTGAGATAAGAAAGCATTGTCCTTAGGTTACGTGGTCTTCAAACACATAGAACCCTCTAGGCACTAAGTGATAACTCCTCCTTTGAGAGTACTGAAGACTGAAATGTATTTGAAGCTCCTACTTTTCTCCCCAATAGGAATGTTTTTTAATGTAAAATACAGTTAAGCTTGCATCCTATTTTTTTAAATGTTGCTTCATGTTGGATTCATTTCAGAGTATAGCAAAACAATCAGGAAGAAATGGTCTGCAGACCACATTTGGCCCATCTCTCTAACCAGAGATCTAACTTTCAGTTTACACAATGCAAAGCCTCAGAATCAATCTGTCTCTGATAATATAGAAAACAAGCTTTTCAGAACCTCTCATTCTTGAGCAAACCCTGGCCAGTTGAGACTGGAGGAGGGTCAGCTTTTATCCCCCAGGAAGAAGTCTGCAGCGTGAGCTACCCCAGGAGGGGAGAGGACAAGGCAAATAGTCGTGGCTCTTTACACATCACTCTTTCAAGGAAACTTGGTTTTCTATTCTGAATTGCAATTTTCCACTTGCTACCTTGTCCAGAACATGTTGCAACATTTGAAAAGGAGGCCTAGTTAGGGGTGCTTATTATTCCTAGAGTCTAGATCTACTAGATAATGGTTGCAGTGAATTGAAGGGAATTGAACAAATCTTGCTAAATTTTGCTGCTGAATCAATATGTGACCTTGGGCAAATCTCTTTACAAATGGGGGAACTGAAGGTCACAGATAAAGTAAGAAGAAGCAATATCTGGTAGAATTTTTGTCAGGAGGGAAAAGTATGCATGTGAAAACAATTTGGAAAGTCAACTTAACATTTCTACTTAATTGCTCCTTCTTTACATGGACATAGAATTTCAGAATGACACAAATATGTGGAGAGATTTTTTTTATTGTAAAACATTAAGAGTATGTTTATAAAAATGACATCTATTATATAGAGCTGTTCATTTTAAAAATAGCCATAACGTGCCCCCCGAATTGAGCTTTGTGCTCTAATGCATGCTTAACTCACGAGTTTAGCAGGTTCTGACTTGGGTGATATTAGGTGTCTAAGTTTCTGCCTTCTGGGGTCCCCAGTTCCTTTAAGGCTAATTACAATTCTAGCACCAACAAAGATGCTGGGGAAAGTTCAGGCTTCTCCAGTTGTTCCTGAGGAGCTTCAGCACTATTATCCCTGTGGTCACCTGTCACCTCTCACTCAAGACCATGGCTACTTCTTAGGCCTTCTCTTCACCTCTGCATTCCTTGTCACTGTTTCTCTAGGAAGCCGTCTTCTCAAAGTCAAGGGTGAATCGCACCTTCCCTTTATCTCCCAAGGAGAACACTGGACTGAGGGTAGTTTGTAGTCATGACTATCCCTTTGTAAAAAGGGTGCTAATTCTCTTATCACAACATAAAACAATAGAAACTTAAATGCATAAAAGACTCATTGCCTCTCAGGTTTTCTCTCCCGACTCTCACCCTCACTAAACCTCAAATTCATTAAAATTATAGCTTTTACAGGTTTCCCACAAAAGAGACATGGAGACTGGGAGGTATTATTTATGCTCATAAAAACTCTCCGGTCCAGACAGGCTTGTCTTTTCCCTGTGAAAAGTGTTTTCACTAATATGAAATTTGCCTGCCACCCGCAAGGCAGAAATAACTTGTTTTAAAAATAGTGAGCATGTTCTACCCATCCACCCACATATTTTCTTTTATTTTTTGGTACTTTGTCTTCCAGTTTATAGACTTTTTTTTTTATTTAGAACCAAGTCAAAGAACTGCCCCCTGGATAATCATTCTGCCTTCAGTGATTTGGTGCTTACGGCGCTTCTGGTGGCACGTAGAGCCCTGAGGTCAAGATGATGCATCCATTTCATAGAAGATAACATCCCACGGAGGGTTTGGTTCTGTCCCTGGGTGTTCAAGTTGAGGTGAGACAGGCAGCTGCATACCTACACTGCTTCTGGGCATGTAAACAGATCTGAATTTTCCAGGAAGTCACTTGTAAAATTTATCAGAAATCTTTTTAAATGCTTCATACTTCCAGCACCTAAGTATTCTAATTCTAGGAATTTATTCTGAGTTTAATCATCTGAGGCACAGCAAACTATATATAAGCATATTCACCACAGCACACTGCCATTAATTCCAGTTTTTCTACTATTTCAATATATAATAGAGGATTGAGTAAATTAACCTGGCATCACACATTAGTTAAGTTTTTGTTTTTACTAAAAAAAGATTTAAAAATTAAATCTGGCAGTAAAATAATGTCCAGGATGATTCCAATGATCTGGCTTTGAAAAATAGCGAAAAAGAAATAATCTAAAGCTTTACAAGCGATTGCTTTTGGACAGAGGTGGCTCCTTTCTGCCACTCACCTGCCCAGGTACTTTATGGGCTTCCTTAAGTCCCTGGCTCTGTTTTCTCTTTCTTTGAGCTTTATGTACAGTGGCCACTGCTCAGAACAGTACTTTCCTTTATGTGTAATTTTATTTTAATCCTTTAAAAATGTTTAAAAACTTTTTCTAAATTTTCTGCAACACACTAGTGTTACTCAGGGCAATTTAAATGATATATTAAGATGCCATGGTCACAGTACTTCTTAAAAAACTTCACTTTTACCACCAGAATTAGATCTAGAAAAACCTTATTTCCATATTTTGCAGATTAGGAAACTGGAATGTAAGATATTAGCATAAATGCTAACTAGGTATGTGAAACAGATTTAAGCCCACCTAAGATGAGTCAGCTAACTGGTGGCAAAGGGAGATCTAGGCCCCAAGAAGCTCCCTGCCCCCATGCTGTAATTCCCCTGAGAAGACGCTGAGAGTTGTGGGAGGTTGAAAGCAGTCCCACGTCTCTTCATCTGGTTGCTTTCCGCCTATCGCTCCTGTGGAAGTACATGATCTGACCATAGCAGAAGCCATATTGAAGGTAAGATAGTAAGAGTGACCATGAGCAAGAGTGTCAACAATTTTAGCCCTGTGATTGGACTAATAGGCAGGCTAGTCCCCTCACTTGTTACTCCTATTTCTTAGGCAGCCAGAAGTAGAAAAGGTAGATCACAGGCAATACAGTTCATGCCACAAATGTAACCGTTGACTTAATATAATGATACTTGTCATTGGATTAGGTTCAAATTCTAGGAGAGAGAAGCACTACAAACTGCTAAAGAGTGACAATTTTGTTTCTGTATTGGTAGTGTACATAGGTCAGTTCCTAACAGAAGATACCCAGCACACTCAAAACTGTTGTACAAAGGGGACCACAGAAGACAGTGTGTTTCCCCAGAGCTGGGAGCAACTGGTTCACTAACAAAACTAAATCTGAGAGGACAAGGAAAATGAGCAGTTCCCAAAACCTGGAAGGGGAGAGTTGCATAAAATCTGCTGTCTTCTAAGAAGGGTGACTTTTGCTTGAAGAACACAGCCAGACCAAGATGAGCCTAAAGGGAAGAGGCTGTAAGAAGAAATACCCAGTTTTGCTCTTTCCTCCCTCTGATCTCCACCCCAACCAGAGACCAGAGGGAAGAGATGCCCTGCATATGGCACCCACATAGGTCAGTTTCCCATGGTGGAGGGCAGGAAGTGCACTGAGTCTGGAGGAGCAGTCAGGATGTATCAGCAAAAACAGTGTCGCATGGTTTAAAAACTTAAATGTAGCCCTGGCTGGCATAGCTCAGTGGATTGAGCGTGGGCTGCGAACCAAAGTGTCACAGGTTCGATTCCCAGTCAGGGTACATGCCTGGGTTGCAGGCCATGACCCCCAGCAACTGCACATTGATGTTTCTCTCCCTCTCTCTCGCTCTCTCTCTCTCCCTTCCCTCTCTAAAAATAAATAAATAAAATCGTTAAAAACAAAAAGACTTAAATGTTAGACTCGAAACCATAAAATTCCTACAAGAAAATACAGACAGCAAATTCTTGGACATTGCTCGTAGGAATGCTTTATCTGATATATCTCCCCAGGCAAGGGAAACAAAAGAAAAAGTAAACAAATGGGACTACATCAAATTAAAAAGTTTTTGCAAAGCAAAGGGAATCATCAACAAAATAAAAAGACAACTAATGGAATGAGAGAACATATTCACTGGTACACCTGATAAGGGGTTAATATCCACATTTATAAAGAACTTATAAAACTCAACACCAAAAAAAAACAAACAATCCAATCTAAAAAATAGGCAAAAGGCCTGAATGAATAAACACTTCTCTCAGCAAGACATACAGAAGGCCCATAGACATATGAAAATGCCACTAATCATCAGAGAAATGCAAATTAAAACCACAATGAGATATCATCTCATACCTGTCAGAATGGCTATCATCAATAAATCAACAAACAGCAAGTGCTGGTGAGGATGTGGAGAAAGGGGAACCCTTTTGCACCACTGGTGGGAATGCAGACTGGTGCAGCCACTGTGAAAAGCATTACGGAGATACCTCAAAAAATTAAAAATGGAACTGCCTTATGACTCAACAATTCCACTTCTGGGAATTTATCCAGAGAAACCCAAAACACTAATTCAAAAGAACATATGCACTTCTATGTTCATCGCAGCATTATTTACAACCACCAAGATATGGAAGCAGCCCAAGTGTCCATCAATAGATGAGTGGATAAAACAACTATGGTACATTTATACAGTGGAATACTGCTTGGCTGTTCCAAAAAAAAAAGAATATTTTACCCTTTGCGACACCATGGATGGCCCTGGAGAACATTATGCTAAGTGAAATAAGCCAGTCTGAGAAAGACAAATACCATATGATTTCACTCATTTGGAATCTAATGAACAACCTGAACTAACAAGCCAAATAGAGACAGACTCATAGAAAAGAGAGCAAGCTGACAGCTCTGGGTGGGGTGGGTTTAGGGATGGAAGGATTAAAAAAAAAAAGGAAAAGGGACTCATGAACATGGACAATGATGTGGTGATTGGGAGGAGGTTATGGGGGGATAAATGGTAATGGAATAAATATAATAAAAAATAAATTACAAAAAATTCCCCCAAAACAAAAAGGAGAGTCCTAGAAAATAATGACCAATTATTCAACCATAGTTTTAATAATAAAGCCTATACAAATTACAGACAGGGAAAAAAGAGCAATGTCAGGGTATTGGCCACTTTTTAAATAAAGAGTGTTCTGTAGGTCTGTTGTTAGATGGGCTGAAAATGTATTTTGAGCTGTCATATTAAAAGCCACAAAGTCGCCTACCTCCAGGTCCCTGGTTATAGTTTTATATGACTATGGTTCCAATGTTTTCCTTTTAAATTATCTTTTCAATTACTCTGTTTTAAAACACCCTTACTCTAAGGTAAGTATAAATTATCCTAGATTTTAGAAAGGCCCAGAAGAAAGCCCTTTCTTGAGAAATGACGTCCTCTTTTTTCCTTAACCATAATTCTCAGCTTTAACCATCACATCCTCAGCTGTTATTTCACATTAACAGTCGGTAGGAATCAGGCCTACAATCTTAAAGATCTGGGAATACCTGACTTGGCTGAATTGGCTTTATCATCACTTTGGAGCACCTGAATGAACCATAATAATTTACTGCTGTTTATGAGGAGGTATTTCTACACTGAATGCATTTTAAAAGCAGTTCGTTGAAAGAGTGTTAAGAAAGGATAAGTAACTAAGGTAACTCTAATGACATAATCATAGGTACACCTCATTGTATTGTGCTTTGCAGATATTGTGAGGGTTTTTTGGGGGGGTTGTTTTTATTTTGTTTGTTTGTTTTTTGTTTTCTGGGTTTTTTTTTTTTTTTGCAAATTCAGGGTTTGTGGCAACCCTGTGTCAAGCAAGCCATTGGTGCCACTTTTTCCAACAGCATTTGCTCACTCATGTCTGTGTTACATTTTGGTAATTCTTCCACTGTTTCAAACTTTTTTGTTATTATCACATTTGTTATGGTGATCTGTGATCTTTGATGTTACTAGAGCAAGACCCTTCACCAGCATAAAGATGGTAACTTGCTAAAAGGCTCATGATGGTTACCATTTTTTAGCAATAAAATGTTTTTAAATTAAGACATGTACTTTATTTGTTAGACACACTGCCATTGCACACTAATCAACTACAGAATGGTGTAAGCACAGCTTTTATATGCCCAAGGAAACCCAGAAGTTCATGTGACTCACTGTGTTGTGACCTTTGCTCTGTTGTGGTGATCGGGGACAGACAGAGCCTGCACTCTTTCCAAGGTGGGAATAAGGGGGAGTGAGTGTTTGCAAAGGTATTTTGTTTAATTTTGTCCTTATTTTTTCCTGTAGAAAAAGTTCTGTCTCTACTGATGAGAGCTAGTAATGAAGATAATGAAGAAGACATGATAAGACATTTCCTTTATCAAA